AAGGGAGCAAGAGTGAAGCTGATATAAATTAGTCACTTCTTACTTCCACTTCACACTTCCCTTCTTTGAAGTATTGATTTCCAGATTTAAAAGGCTGTTTTTAAACGGCTCTGTTTTCCCCTTGTCATAGCCTGCGGTGTACATCAGAATAAAGAACCGAGCCCAGGATGAATATCTGACAGTCACTGGAAACCTCACTGACACAAGGGCAACATCTGTGTGCATTTCTCCCTATAGTGGAAAAAATACCCAGATCTGGCACTACTGTCGAGGACTCTTTAAATCCAAGGTAACCTACCAAACCAGTTGCTATTGAGTTGATTCTGACTCATGCCAACACTGTGTGTGTCAGTGTAGAAGTATGCTCCGTAGGGTTTTCAAATGGTTGATTTTCCAGAAGTAAATTGCCAGCCCCTTCTTCCAAGGGGCCTCTGGGTGAATTCGAACTACTGAATTTTTGGTTAGCAGCTGGGTGCATAACCCCATAAATAGAACACCCCCCTGCTTTTTGGTCTGTTCTTTTGGAAACTAGAATCTTGCAAACTAAATGACTGATAAAATAATGCCAGTTCTTAGGAATAGTTCATTGCATGATCATATACTGATATGCATATATTACTAAAGCATTTAAGTGAAATGGCTTAGAGAACTTTTTGATCTAGAACATCCAGTTTTGATATTTCAGTTAAACATATGCCTAGGTGATTTTTTCAAAACCAGTGATACGTCACTGGATCTGAATTGGACAGTGTGCTTTTGTGAGATGTTCCTTACTCAATGGTCCAGATAAAATCAGCTGTCTTTGAGACTTTAAACATGTTGAAATCCTTTCATTTTCAAAATACACAATGAAATAGTAGTAGAAGAAAGAAGCTGTTATTGGAAAAAGCTTAGAAAATAAAATTTCGATTTATTTTTCAGAGACCATTCTGTTCGATGCTATGGGGAGTAAACACCAGTTTAAAAACATTACAACCTTATTTTATTGTATCACCAATGGATTATCTACTTTTTCTCTTGCTTCAACACAAATGAAAAGCATTTAAAAGTAATTAGTATCTGGGTATCTTTAGCACTTCACGTTAAGCTAGCAGGGACTTCATATTTAATTTTAATTCAGCAAACCTTTATTGAACATCTATTGCAATATGCAGGCATCCTTTTAAAAACAAGTACATCTATTTCAGTGGGCTTATTTCTATACTATATCCTCCCCCCAACCATAAAGAAGACTTAAAAAAAAGGTTTACTGAAAGTACTATTATGTTATACAGTATTCTTTTCAGATAAGATATAATCATTTAATGTCTGTGAATAGTTTACCTGAAAAGAAGAGAAACCCAATTCAGATTATTTTAGCAAACACAGTACTGCCAAGTTGTTTCTTAACCCTTTTAGGCGAGTGATACGTGTCTTGATGTGATTGGTGGCCGGGACACACCTGGAGCTAAAGTAGCCCTGTGGACTGAACATGGGCAATTCAGGCAGAAGTGGAGAGTGAACAAAAATGGAACCATCAGCTCTTACCTCGGTGATCAACTTGTCCTTGATATTAAAGGTGGGCCTTTGATGAGACCCAGTGTTTCGTGTTTTGGGGTATCATTTTTAAGTCCTTTTTCTGGGTAAAGGAAATCCTT